TTGGCTACTATAACCAAGTAGAATACGGTAGCAGTAATCGACTGGTACGCGTCGTAGTCGCAGGTAAGAAGTGTAGATCAATGGCGTAGTCCACTGGGCGTCGTTATAGACTTAGCTCTCAGACTAAGGCTCTCTTGACTCTCCTACACGTCCGTCGGTATTTATGACGGACACCAGCCAATCATATTCCAGTGAGGGGGAACACAGGTGTATGCATATTCCATTATATCAGTTCTTGTGTAGCAACTTGATTCACACCGTGGTGAAGCGTTGCTGTATAGACCCCTGCTTCATCCAGTTATTTTAAATCTGTTCCATCCTACCTCAAGTACATTTTCTTAAGGAAGACCATCTAATCTCGGAGTTTTGTACTGGTCAACCAGCTTTAGTGATTCCCAGATTTCCGATTCTGGGATGGGACCCTCGCACCCAGCCGCTTTAACCGTCGCGAGACAGAGAAAATCAGCCAAATAGGCATGCTCTGACGGGGCCTCCATGGTGAACAGATCCCGATAGTAGTCATGAAAAGCCTCATATATGTTGTCTCGGTCCGCTTACCCGGCGATGTGACGCATGCGATATGTCTACTGGATGCAGTTCTAACTTCCGCTGCACGCAGTTCGGCGGCCATATTTGTCGCCTCGGAAGACATACATTTTAACCTAACTCTAACTACCAGAGCTCTGATCCTTCTTGATAAACAAGAAGGCAAACTCTGCTCTAGTTAAAGCGACTTCCTCACTATCACAGAATTTAATGGGCCGATCTATTTTTTTCTTCATATGCCGTTTGCACTGCTAATCTAAAAAGATCGAGTCGACGATTATAATCAACAGCAAACGATCTAATTTTTTAAATTATTTTAATCTTTCCCAGCACCTTCTGCATTCAGCCTCCGTCAATTCCTGCTGTAGCATTCGTAGGAGCTAGTCCTTGATATCTCTATGCGTTCCAATTTCCAATAGTCAGCCAACTTAACCTTAGGCATATCTAAGTTTACATAGACCCGGACGAGTCTAGGATCCGTATAAACTATCGAATGAAAACTTGGACAACCTAAGAGCCTTACATCGACTCTCGACTCGGTCGAGGTAACTAGAACGCACCAGCGAGACTGAGTTACCCTTATTAGTCTAAAAATACACTACCTTCCGGGTGAGGGTGCCCATTACGATACTTATCGACAAGATCAAGTCCCAAAATGGTTTCACATCCGGGTTGTTAGTAATGATTTTCTAAGCGTAAATGTGGCACAGGGACAAAAGTATGGATTTCCCAGTGAAGATCGAACGTACTATTCAGTCGCAATTTATCAAGCTAACCATTAACCCAAGTTGAAGTGTCCATACCATAGAGTAAATTTCATCAGAGCAATTATCATGAAAGTGTTTATAGAAAAGGTAGAGGGAGGCTACATTACGGCAGTGGGAAAGTGATTAAAGCCGAGATGTCGGCTCAGGACCAATAGAGGGGAAAGTTCATCAGAACAATTACCATAAAAGTATTTATAGAAAAGGCACAGGGAAGCTACATTAAGGAAGTGGGAAAGTGATTGAAGCCGAGATGTCAGATCAGATTGCAGATTTCTTTTAGGATTTCATCAAGTCTCTCTAAATATATAGCAGGAACACCAGACCAGATATGGCAGCAATATTCGAACCAAGAATGACTGATAGACTTATAAATAAGTAAGATGGATTCTGGTGAGAAAAATTGTCTACCACGACGCAAAGGACCAAATTTCCTAGCTCGATAGAGCGAAAAACGCGCTTCAAAATTATATATAACATGGCTATATATATCAATGAATTAATTCAGAAATCATATATAAAAATAGCATATGTGAGAAAACGACATTATTTTTGCACCAACCTAATAGCACCTAAGTGAATGTAATGGATTCGACTGGAATTCGAACTCGGCTCTCCGATTCCTTAATCCGATCCGCTATCCATTGCAAAACAACAAAGCCACAAGAGCTTAACTCTAGGGTATATATAGTCATCCACAGACAGATTGCTTCGCTGTATCACAGTTCATCAGTGTGGCTAGACGTCCGGTTGCCTCAAGCTAGGATCGAAACCCGGCTGTATTGGCGTCAGTCAGAGTTTCTACCCCTAACCTGTTGGCGCACGGTAGGGATGAAGGTGAATTTAAGTTTATTTCTAGTGACTGAGAGAACTCGATTTTTCTTTACCGAAGAGTCTTGCATTATTAGCAGTACTAGTCACTGTTTACAAACTCACATTTCCTTGCCCCCAGAGAGCTCAACCGATAAATTTTTTCAAGAGAATGTATATAGTCATCCACAGGCAGACTGTTTCGCTGTATCACAGCTCATCAGTTTGGCTAGACGTCCGGTTGCCTCTCGCTAGGATCGAAACCCGGCTGAATTGGCGTCAGTCAGAGATTCTACACACACACACATATATATATATATATATATATATATAGTACACACACACACACACACACACACACACACACACACACACACACACACACACACACACACACACATATATATATATATATATATATATATATATATATATATATTAAGAAATGGACAAAAGTCCGACAATTTATTAAAAGACATTTTATGTTTAACATTCTTTTTATAGATACAATATTTTCTATGAAAATTTCTCGGACATTCAGGCCGGTAAATGTTATTTAATACTGTTTATTATAAACAGAGCATTTACTAAAATACTTGTATCTATAAAAAGAATGTTAAACATAAAATGTCTTTATATATATATATATATATATATATATATATATATATTGATCTATCCACTATCCTTCCCCTCATCATTTCCTCTATCACTCCTATCTGATCTTGCTCCAAATCTTCTGTAACCTCTTGCGTCCTAGTGGCTTTCCGCCTTGCTTGGGGTGAAACGCTTAAAAAAAAAAAAAAGAACCATCCACACTTTTGTAGGGCCGAATACAGAGAGACCTGGTGCACTACGTACCACAAGGTCCCCAAACGACACTTCGGAGATTTTGAATTCAGAGATGTCTTTCACCTAGACCAGTTGCCATCCAAAGCTATAGAATCCAGTTTGTCCGGCTATTTACCCATAGCTGGAAGGAGAAGAAGAGGATCAACATCTTTCCCAAGGGTATTAATCATATATATATATATATATATATATATATATATATATATATAGAGAGAGAGAAAGAGAGAGAGAGTGTGTGTGTGTGTGTGTGTGTATCAAAAATACTTATACACACTTTGGGGGCGGGTCTCTCACGCTAAACAAAGTCAAAAGTTTTCTTCAGGTGATTGGAATGTCGAACTGAACGCTTTATTTCGCTCACTGGGATAGACTGTTCTAGTTCTATGTGCCATGTCTAATGGATGTGAGTTATCTCCTGTTAATTCCGCTCTCAAAGTTTTACAACGCCTTAACCAGGAATTGAACTCACAAACTTTGGGTCCTGTCACTGGATCTAACTAACGCCTTTATCCTCTGTGCCATGTGTTCCAATCACCTGAAGAAGGCCGGAGTGTACAACGGCCGAAACGTTGTGATAAGCATGGCGACAATGATAAGGACAATAGTCCGAATAATGTAAATAGTGTACATAATACCTTATCTCAGAAATATAGAGAGTATTTACTTTGTCTACTTGCTGACGAACTTGGGAAAAGTTAATGAAGGGTACTATATATTTCCTTTTAACACAACTCTCCCAGTTTTTGGTTGTTCACAGCTGTGGCTTGGCATTGAAATCAAAACTCTTTAGGTTTATAAATGGTGAACCAAAAACTTGGAGAGTTGAGTTAAAAGGTAACTATCTGAGACATCCGATAGAGGCATGGCACGTGGAACTAGAACAACCTACCCCAGAGGACAAAATAAAAAAATTCGGTTCGAAATTCCAAGCAACTGAAGAAGGGCGGAGTGCACAACTGCCGAAACATTGTGAATATGGCACTGAAGATGTGGATGACTGTCTGAATAATGTAAACGATGCAAGTAATCATAATACCTAATCTCAGAGATAGAGAGACCGAAACGTTGTGAATATAGCAATGAAGATGAGGATTTACACTATTCGAACTGTTATCAGTTCGAATAATGTAAATAATGCAAGTAATCATAATACCTCATCTCAGAGATATAGAGGCCGAAACGTCGTGAATATGGCAATGAAGATGAGGATAAAAGTCCGAATAGGGCAAATAATGCAAGTAATCTAAGAAATATGGACAAACTCTGATCTTTGTTTAAATTCACAGTATCAATATACAGTCACTAGAGCATTTGACATCATTTTCTTAGTTCTTTTGTCACATTTAGACCAAAACAATGTATTCTGTCATAAGAGAATGATTTTTGATTCATATTCCATGAATTTTCCGACATCGTACCTGGTTTGAGCCGCTCATCAATCAAGGAATTTTGCATGCTACAAAAAAAAGCTAGTCTTGGAGAACTTGTCACCTTGAGATTATAGAACGTTTTCGGTAGAAATTCTTAATCAAGCTACAATATTTTTGCCGTGTTTCATCGCAGGTCAGATGTTGGTCACGCGACAAATTACCGATCGAATCCTTTACTCAGCATTGCATCTTTTCGCCTCTTGAAGCATCATTCACATTTTTCCATTGGAACATTGGCATGTTCTTCAGTTAACATGTGCCAAGGTTCAAGAAATTCGCAATATTAAAAAAAATTTGTTTGACCACAAATTATAGGAAAATATACATTCAATGCTTTGTTGAGATGTCCTGGATCTAGACACGACGTTTTTTCGTTTTGAATTCTCGTTAGAAACCCATTTCGTAGCATATCATATTCTTGTTTCAAAAAAAAAAAATTGTGCCAAAAAATGAAGAGAAAGACAAGTGTTTAAACGCTGAACAAGTATTTGTTTTTGTAAATTAATGGGAAACATATTTTCCTTAACTTTTGATTTTTCCCTAAGGCTTGTAAAAAGATGCGATACAGTTGGCTGCACAAGCAGTAAAAGGATTTTCAATGATGGCATTGGGAATTATCTATCTATCTATCTATCTATCTATCTATCTATCTATCTATCTATCTGTCTGTCTAAGACTGTATACATACATTTCTTGCATGAAGGTATGTTTATCTATCTATCTATCTTTCAGTCTGTATACATCTATTTCTTTTATGTAGGCATGTTTATCTGTCTGTCTGTCTATCTATCTCAGTCTGTACACATATATTTCTTACATGTAGGTATGTTTATCTATCTATCTATCTATCTATCTATCTATCTATCTATCTATCTATCTATCTCAGTTTTTAGACATCTATTTCTTATACGTAGGTATGTTTGTCTATCCCATTCTGTTTACATATAAATTTCTTAGTTATATCTATCTATATATCTACCTGAGTCTTTTTACACATCTAAATCTATCTATCTATCTATCTATCTATCTATCTATCTATCTATCTATCAATCTCATTCTGTTTACATATAAATTGAGTTATATCTATCTATCTATATAACTATCTTACTCTTTTTAAACAAATCTACCTATCTCATTCTGTTTACATATAAAATTATATATATATATATATATATATATATATATATATATATATATATATATATATATGTCTTTTTACACATCTATCTATCTGTCTGTCTGTCTATCTGTCTGTCTGTCTATATATTCCAATTTCTTTCTCTCATAGTAAATCAACTGTCCTGTTTAAATTCTTGTCTATATTCATGGTTTAAATTCTTAAATATAACTATCAGTATCCATATAGATATAAGGTAGATGTCATAAAAACACTTGGTTAGCCCATAATAACGAAATTCCTCTCGCAATATTTTAAAAACTAATTTAGTAAAAACAAATTAAAATGGATTCCGAAATTTCGTTTTTAATAGGCCTGTGAAAATTCACTTTGATGAAAATTAATCACAACTCCAATGAAAATCTCGTCAAATATAATCATATACTACTTGCATCTTGCTTCAATCAAGGGTTGCAAATTGTAGGCAACTGTTACAAAGTTATTTACAGAGGCACTTTTTCTACTAAACATCAAAAACGTGTCTCATTATCGACTATAAAAATGAACATTTCCTTTTATCGTAAAAATAAATCTCTATTAAACAAAACCAGTGTCATTTAACAATCCTCCTCTTGTCCTTAAATTTTTTATACTGTTCTTCTAATGCTTACGTCCATATCGCGTTGAAACATTGGTTCCGTAAGCAAGAGAAATACGAGAGAAGGAACTGTTAGAATAGAACATAGGGTCGTTTTCGTGTTTGAAAACAATCTTTACACCATGCAGAATGGATTTTTTTCGATTAAGAAACCATTACTAATTAATTAAAGCCGAGATACATTGGTGTGGGGGCAATTAGGGAGGTGGTGTCAAGGATCGTCAGCAGGTAGCACAGGCATTATTTGGGAGAATTTGGCCATTTCTCGATAAGGATTAGGGTCATATCATGTTGAGACACCGGCTCTCGTACGATCACCGAAGTTAAGCAACGTCGAGCTAGATGAGTGACCGCTTCGGAATAGCAGGTGATATCAGCTTGGGTATGCGGTGGTGTAATGGAAAATGTTAATCGGAGAGCCGTGTTCCAATTCCCGTTGGGTTCGTTATATTACACGCAAATACCGTTGGGAAAGCTTATGAATCCATCTATTCTCCCCCCTGCTATGGGTTAATTAGTAAGACTTCTATCCCTAAACCATTATTATCTAAAAAAAAAAAAAAATAAAAAGTAGAATTTCTAACAGTCTAAAAAAATCTGGCTTTAAATAACCTGCAATGAGTTGATACGCCGGAGAAAACGAACCAATGTATCAAATTTTTGCTAATATTCACAGAACACAAGAGCCACTCAATTTAGCGGGTTACTGAATGAAGTGGTCGGTATAGGCGTAAGAGGAGGAAGTTTCGTGTTTTAGAGTTCTGGAAAGCATCCACGTGGGAGTCTGTTGCGGTTTTTGGGTAAAAAGCTGTCTGAGTAGAACTTCCTACAAATCAATGGGATACGAAGGAAATGGGGATGATTCCAGCCTGTGCATGTGACATGATGGGTCTTAGCTGTAAATGTCTGAACTGGTGGAATTACGTATTTACTGTTTCCTCACTAAGACCAGTTGTGACACAAGGTCTTTTTAAAAAAAAAAAAAGGAAAAAAGGAGACCCGAGCGGGTACACCCGGGCCAGGAAGAAAAATTGCCTGCAGTCCCCGCAACTGTCCGTTGCGCTGGCCTCGGTGCGAGCACATATCCCTCTCTCTAGTGCAATGAGAGGGCGCAGCCTCGGGCAGCCGTTCTCCAGGGACGTCCTGGGTAAGACGATAAACTACGTCCAGCATCAAGGCCTCTGATCAGGAGCCTTTGAGGAGCGTGGAACCACCTCTTAATTGCTGGTGTTCCCAGGTCCACCCTGACCTGGGGTGGTAACACTTGTTAAGGTCCCAGCTATGGGCAAAGAGTTAACCTTGAAACTGGGGTAAAAACACTATGAAAGTGTAAAAATAGGTTTTAATACCAGAAATACTTTTAAAAAATTATTACCAGCAATATATTTTTGAAGAAAAAAAACTATTACCAGCAATACATTTTTGAAAAAAAAATATTACCAACAATGTTTTTAAAAATATTACCAGCAATACATTTTTGAAAAAAAAATATTACCAACAATGTTTTTAAAAGATATTACCAGCAATACATTTTTTAAGGAAAAACATTACCAACAATGTTTTTAAAAAATATTACCAGCAATACATTTTGGAAAAAAAAAAATATTACCAACAATGTTTTTAAAAAATATTACCAGCAATACATTTTTGAAGGAAAAATATTACCAGAAATAGATTTTTGACAAAACAAAATATTACCAGCAATAAAAATTTTGTCGGCATTAAATAACTCATTGAGGTTGATATGCCGTAAAACAAAACAAACCAAACCCAAACCGTTCCCCAGGGCTGGGCCCCTCTCAGTTGCGACTCTGTCCTTTGACGGAGTTGCCCCTGAGTGCATTTTGCCCAAAGACAGACACGCAATTGAGAGATGATAATTAATATGTTACAAACCACTCTAAAGAGCGGTTTACACACTAAAAATGGGGAAACTAAATAAAGGAACTTGCCATGGAAATTTCGATAAAAAAAAGCGGCGTGACGTCCGTGGACAAGAGGTTGATGTTGGGGAAGTGAGCTTATCACCCACATGATATGAACGACCTTGATGTCTGTCAGGTTTTGAAAGTGAGGACTGGGAAGATGCAGCCCAGATATGGCAGCAATACTTTCATTCTGGTTTGATCTGACCCTTGACAAGAGACATCAAGTACTTCATGGAATAGTACAAGGAACCAACCGTTTTTCCAGGATCTTTGGCGATAGATCGTCTATATGAGGTCTCGGGTGAATTCGACTCACATAATAAATGATGCATCTAATTAGTAACGACACTTTGAAATCTGATATGATTAATTATATCATCATTATCATCATTATTTATTCAGTTTATTTTTTTTTGTCATTTTTTTAAACATTTCACACCCCTTCCAGAGCAGACAATGGCACGAGAACGCATAGTGGCGGTTAAAGAGAATGAAAGTCAATTGGAATGAGATGAATAATTTGGGGTGGCTTGAGCAAAGGACAAAAGAGGAACGGGGTTCAAGAAGACGGGAGAAAGCGATCGACATTGCATTTAAATGTTATAAGATTGTAGTTATCAGGGAAGCAAGAAATCGGAAGGGAGTTGCTCAGGTGGGAAGTGCGAGATCAAAAACAGTAGAAATGACGGTTTCATGTGTAGAAATGCCGGTTGCGTCTAGCTATTTCAACAGTAAAGACGGTGCGACCTACCTGCCAATCAAGTAGTACGTTTAAATTCATGTAGTCGTGGAACCAGTGGGGGAAAAGCTCGTCGGAGCAGTTGCCATGAAAATATTGTAGAACAGACAGAGGGTAGCCATGTCAGGTCGATGAGAAAGTGACTGGTGACAAGATGCCTGGTCATGATCGATTGTATTACAGATTCTTCTCTAGAGTTTGTCAACAATTTGAGATGCACAATAGGAGTACAAGACCAGATATGGCAATAGTATTTGATATCAATGACGAATGGAAGATGGATTCTGACGAGTGTATATATATATATATATATATATATATATATATATATATATATATATATATATATATATATATATATAACTATACTCGTCTCGAAAAACCTTCGAATTTTTGATTTGCCAATAATCAAATCAATCTCGAGGGAAAAGGTTTTAAAAAAAAGAAAGAGCTACAAACATGAAAGTCTGTCGAAAAAAAATCGCACAGCTGCAAGTTTGAAGCCCAAGAAAAAAAAACCCGATACGAGTAAACAACTAACTAACAAAAGAGCTCAATACAACCGTAGAGCAGACCTAGATAAACCTAGTGAGCCAGACAAACCTACCTAGGTTTCACCTAAATAGATCGTCAGGGAAAGTAAGGCTTACTTTCCTGACGATCCGTTTATTGAAACCTAGGTAAATTGTCTCAACTCACTAAATGTATATATATATATATATATATATATATATATATATATATATATATATATATATATACACAAATGAGAGAAAAAACAGATGGAGTAAAAATTCACCGTTTGTAGCATTTACTTGTCCTCAATACAAAGTAGAGCAATATATTATTATTACATTTTTATTATAAGAGATTATACTAAAACATTTTCAAAATGTTTTATTATAATCTCTTATAATAAAAATATAATGCAAACACGCACACACACACACACACATATGTATGATAAAACTATAGTTAAAAAATAAAAAAAATAATGTATGCGATATTTGTGGGTATAAAGTATTCAATATCAGGGATACGTATGCAAATATAAAAAATAAAAATCTACATTGATGTCAACACCCAGTGGTGACAATCTGTTTCATGCTTAAACGCAATCTTCATAAATTCATTGCGAAAGTCACACATGAAATAAAAATTATTGTTTGTAGTGGAAGTAAGGACCTACGTACATCAAATTGTCTTTAAATTAAGAAGAATTATCTTTGAACTTTTAAAAGGTAAGCTTAAATATTAAAGCAATACTTAAATGCATCAATCTATTTTGTGTTCTTCCGTAGTTTATTGTTGCCTATTGCATTCCGCCTGCGCTATGCCTTGCAAAAAACAAATCTCTGTCAACAGATGACCAGCTTGCGATCAAATGTGCGAAGGCTGCAGCGACGAAAAGAAGGTCAAATGAAAAGCCAGATCAAACGGCAGCAAGAGATTCCAGTGCTAAGAATATTCAAAGACCTAGGGACTCTCAAACTACTGAACAAGTAGAATGCCCAATCAAGAGCCCTATGTAGGAGCAGCTTTGAACTAGTATATATATATATATATATATATATATATATATATATATATATATATATATATATATATATAATTGAGTCACTGTCGGTCGCTGGGCGTGTTTCTAAAAAATAAATACGCTAAAATCCACATTCATCCCTACCGTGACCCGACGGCTTAATGGTTAGAATCTCCGACTGACACCAGTCGGGTTTCGATCCTAGCTAGAGGCAACCGGATGTCTAGCCACACTGATGAGCTGTGAAACAGTCTGTCTGTGGATGACGTTACATATATATATATATATAAATATATATATATATATATATATATATATATATATATATATATATATATATATATATATATATATATATATATATATATATATATATATATATATATATATATATATATATATAATTCAACACTAGTAACCTAGTTGTTAAAGATAATATGTCCCAAACTTCCAACCCTGCGTTTGGGGTCAACACAGTTTTTTCGTTATGTGTGTTTGGTAATTTCTAGTTATCAAGCATTGGTCTTGTGCAGCAAGAAAAAAAACTTCCGGTTTCAGCTTTTAACCCTGCACTTCGTAACCACTGATGGGTACAGGATTTGTTTATATCAGCTTGTTTGCTACGGGCAGTGTATTGGCCACGAAGAAGCTTAACTTGCCATCGTTTCTGCATTTGGTTCATTGCATTTGATTTTGCTTTCTTTTTTTTAGGTTCTTTGCCGCTGCATTTTGTGTATTAGGATTTTTTTGAATTTCTTTACCCACTTGAAATTCTCTTTTGAATTATCTGCTTTCTTTTATTTCTGGAAAAAAATTTCTTATATCTTTCCTATTCTTTGACACAGATCATCACCCAATCGTCTGTATTTTTCATGTATCTTTGAAGACCGAATGTTGTGGTTTTGTAAGACAATTCTATTTGAACTAAACCACTGCCAACTTCCAATCTAGACACATACAGACGATCAACATCAGCCCTTAGGATAATGCATGCGGTGTCAAGTGAGAAGCTTTCTCGTTTTGACATCCATTCGCTATGGTCCAAATATTATATTGCACCACAGCGGTAGCCAAAGTGTTTATGGCTGATGTTGTTTTGTGGATTTAACTCGGATATTTAACACCAGACGCCCATTGCTGTAGTATTTTTTTCTTACTACCTTTTGGGTATTTATTGCATCACAGATACAGCCAAGGTTTTTATGGCTGATATTCTGTTTTTTAACACCATTTTTCAGTATGTGTGCTTTGTGATTTCTACTTAGCAAACTTTGGTCATGTGCAGGAAGAATAAAATCTTCGATTACAGCTTTTAACCCTGCACTACGTAACGACTGATGGGTATGTCGTTTGTCTATATTGGCTTGTTTGGTACGGACAGAGTATTGACCGTGAAAAGGCTTATCTTGCCATTGCTTCTGCATTTGCATTTGCTTTTGGTTTTCTCTTTTAGGTCATTTGTCGCTGCAATAGGTGCATTAGGGTTTATTTGCACTTCTTCACCCACTTGAAATTCACTTTTGAATTTGTTTTTTTTTTTCCTTTATTACTGAATAAAGTTTCTTTCTTTCTTCCGATAGAAGTTTATTATTTAATACACGTTGGCATTGACGAAGTATTAAGCAAGTTTATGTCTTCTTGTTATTATCTGATCAGCTTTCAGTCTATCATATTTCTTTCTGTCGATGTTTTCATTCGATTTATAACTATATTCTTTCACTTTTTCTTATAGCCAACTAGTTTTCCTTATAATCATTCGACATTCTTAAATTAACCTGATGCCTTTCTCTTTCCTCTTTTTACATCGTCCGTTTGTTTTTAAGTCATTTCTATTCTTTCTTTCTTTCTTTTTTTCTTTCTTGAAGTCTTTTTCTTTCTTTCTTTTTTCTTTCTTTTTTCTTTCTTGAACTCTTTTTCTTTCTTTCTTTTTTCTTTCTTGAACTCTTTTTCTTTCTTTCTTTTTTTCTTTCTTGAACTCTTTTCCTTTCTTTCATTTTTCTTTCTTTCACTCTTTTTCTTTCTTTCTTTCTTTTTTCTTTCACTTTTTCTTTCTTTGTTTTTTCTTTCTTTCGTTCCTTTTTTAGTTCACATTAGTTACTTATTTTTACATTTTCTCCATTCTTTCTACCATTATTTTTCCTATCTTTCTTTCTTTTTTCTTTCTTTTATTCTGCTTTCCTTCTTCTATTAGTTATTTATTCTCACATTTTTCCATTCTTTCTTTCACGTTTTCCTTTTTTTCTTTTTCTTTCTTTCATTCCTTTTTCATTCTTTCTTTTTTCTTTCTTTCATTTTTTTCTTTCTTCCCATTAATTATTAATATTTTTACATTTTCTCCATTCTTTCTTTAACTCTTTTTTCTTTCTTTTTTCTTTCTCTCACTCTTTTTTATTTATTTCTTTTTTTTCTTTGCTTTATTTTTTTTTTTATCCTTTTTCTCATCTTCCATTAGTTATTTATTTTTACATTTTCTCCATACTTTCTTTCTTTCTCTCTTTCTTTCTCTCTTTCTTTCTTTGTTTCTTTCTTTCTTTCTTTCTTTCTTTTTTTCTTTCTTCCTTTCTTTCTTTCCTTTTATATTTTCAATCTTTATTTATTTATTTCTACATTTTATCCATTTTTTCTTTTGTCTTTCTTCATAATAGTATTTTTTTCTTTTTCTATCCATCTACATAATAGCGTTTCTTTCTTTTTTGTTTTTTCTCCCTTCGTTTCTTTCTTCCTTTCTTCTTTCCTTTCTTTTTTTCTTTCTTCCTTTCTTTTTCTTAACTTTCACCTCTTATCTCCCCCACCTTCCTGAGTTCTCTTTCATGCCCAATCATTTCTGCTCGACCAATCCCATCGCTATTTTTTAAGACTTCCGTTACACACCGCATCTTTCAACTTTTCTTATCATCCATTTGTATAAAACATATTTTCCTTTTATTTCAGAAGAGGAAAAAAAAAAGAAAATCAATACCTCCACCTGTGCCGACAATTCAGGAAATCCATTCGTGTCGGCATTTCCGACATGACTTTACTCATGCCACAGAGAACGTCATATTCAAACCAGGAAAATAAAATGCCAGTTAAAAATGCAATTCGAAATTTGACTCATAAAAATTTATTTGACCAGTTTTACGACATAACGCACAAACAGGTACAATTTACTATAAACGCAGACACACTTTTACACAGTCATGAATACAGACACATGCCCAAAGACACACAGTACACAGACACAAGCATGGACAAAATACACAATTTCACACATGCACAGATACACCAAAAAATTTAAATCACACACCACTATCTCTCTGCCACGCACACACACATACATACATTTTTTTTTAAGCATTCATCCCCGCGCAAGGCTGGAAACCACTAGCACGCAAAGGGTTTCAGAGTAGGAGCGAGAACAAAGAGGAGTGATAGAGGAAAGGATGAAGAGACGGTTAGAGGATAGATCAGGGCAGACGTCGATTGACGTTACATTTAAATAGTTGGAGATTATAGTTATCAGGAAAACAAGAAATGGGGAGGGAGTTCCACAGGCGAGAAGTGCGAGACATGAAGCTATTGGAGTAGACGAGACGGCTACATTTAACAGTTTCGACAGTGAAAGGGTGAGAGCGAGATGCCAGCCTAGTTGAACGCCTAAATTCATGAAGTCTGGGAACCAGTGAAAGCAGCTCATCGGAGCAGTTACCGTGAAAGTATTTGTAAAAAAATACAAAGGGAGGCAACGGAACATCTGTGAGAGAGCGGCTGCAGACGAGATACCAGATCCGGGCCAATTACATTGCATATCCGTCTTTGGATTTTATGAAGGCCCTTGAGACAATTAGAAAGAGCTCCAGACTATATATGGCAGCAATACTCCATGCAAGGGCGAATAGTTGATTTGTAGATTTGAAGGATCGACTCAGGCGAGAAAAATTTCATGGCGCGGAACAGGGAGCCAACTTTCCTTGCGGTGAATGAAGCTATTGACTCAATGTATTTGTTCCCTCTCAGGCCAGCGGACATTGTGAGACATACATTCCTACGTATTTCTTACTACCATAAATCTTGTCTTTACTGAGGATGTGCGCTGTGGTTCAATGGATGTCGACTCGGAATTAGAAATTCATAAAGCCAAGTTCGAATTCCAATCGGGTTTGTTACATTGACTTGCGTGCAAATACTCTTGGAAAGGTATGAATCCATCTCCTCCTCTCATCTATGGATTAAATAATAAGGCTTGTATCTGCATAGTTATTCTTTAAAAAATGAATAATAAAATATTCGATCGAAAAATTAGAACTATTCTTGTAATCTAAAATATGTTTCAGTTTTAAATTAACTGAAAAAAGTTAAAAAAAAAAAACAAATCAATCAATCAAAATATTTGTTTGATTTGATATCATTTTTTGTGGGTTGAAATTAATATCAACCGTTTAAAATTAACGTTTAAAATTGATCAAACGTGTCAGCTTAATAAATTAAAAAAACATTACTTCTTTTGAAATTGCTTTGTTTACGTTCGGATACGAAACTAACGAAATATGAACTTTCGAGAATCTTGGAAGGATATGCGTTTATAAGGCTATATATATATATATATATATATATATATATATATATATATATATATATAT